TCAACCAAAGCTAACACTCCCCCGGCTTCACGGTGCAGTGTGACTCTTTCGAGTCGTAAAATCATATTTTTTTAAAAAATTAAGTTACGCTGAGCTTTGAACTCGTAATCTCCTAGAAAACAAGACTCTCATACTGATGGTCAAAAACAACCGAGCAGGCCAACCATGGGGTCGGGTGACTTGAATAAGTAGAGATATTTTAGTAGAGAGAGTAGAAATAGGAGTATTATTAGCCATCCGGGTTGCTACATGGAATCGTTTGGTTTTCTGTGATGCCCTTGTAACACCCCAACCTGCGTAATCCAAACCAACAAGTTAGCGATCCGGGTTGCTACTAGATTGGCATCTAAACACAATAATTTTCAAAATAATTTAAAACATTTAATTTAAAATAATATCCATCAGAATAATATCAAAATGGTGCGGAAGCTTTAGATGCTTAACTCAAAATACAACTTGGGTTCTTGCCCTTGAAACATAATTAAGTTAAAATGCAATAATTAAACTAGATAACTTCTCCAGCTAGCATCCATTCATTATCTTGTAAGTGTACCTCTAATCTGTTCCTGAGCGGACATGTTCACGTGGCCGGCTATAGTTGGAGGTTCCTCGCATCCCCCTAGACCCGAGCCGAGGGAGTAGCCTCAGTCATGCCAAGCCGAGCCCAGCTCAAGTGCAGGCTCTATGGGTGGCGCCCCCTAGTGTGGCCTCCATCAGATACCATGACGAAAAAAGAAATCAATCCAAAAGTCCTAAGTGTATAATTGTAGCCTAGAATTTTTTTTAAAAAAAATGGTAGGAGGGGCTTCGTGATAATGAGCTTGGGTATCTGGCCGACCGGCCTGAATGCAAAGAAATTTGGGCTTAGAAATTTGATGTACTGTGCTCATGAGACGGTCCATAAGAATTTGGGGGCAGGCTGGCCCATTAATTAAAAGTAATAAGATACTCAGAGCCTCTTTTTTAGAGCTTGAATTCTTAACTTCCAGTTTCTTCTAGTTTCTTCCAGTTCCTTCTAGTTTCTTCCAACTTTTCTCATTTTCTTCAAATTAATTCTACTCCTAAACCAATTACTCTAAAAATGATATATTTCAATGTGATTATTATTATTATTATTATTGATTATTATTATTACAACTGTTATATTCATAACTATAGTTTATAAATTATTTTTTTTCAACTCACTATTTTTATGATTCACACTTATTATTTTTTTCTTCAACTTTTTAATATAAATAAGATATTTTTTGTATATTAGTCAACATGATAAAACAGGAAAACATCAATATGTTAAATTATACTAAAAAATTATGGATAAAATAGTTACATTGAATGTTTTATTAATATAAATTTTTATAAGACATCTTAGTTTTCCCTTTATTACTTAAAAATTGCTCATTTTTCTAATTTTTATAAAAAAAATTGTAAGTCAAAAGAGCTTAGAAAAAAGAGTAAAATATGAGTAAAACATAAAAAATGTAAACAAAAAAGTTCTATGTCTTTATTCCAAAAATAGGAATTCAATGAAAATAAAATGTCAATCATGAAAGAAACAATAGGTTTGATTATGTGACATGTATGATATTTAAAACAAAATGTTTTAATATATAAATTATTCCCTCCGTCCCCCATAGATCTTCCCATTAGCCCTTTTTATTTGTCCCACATAGATCTTCTCATTACCTTTTTTAACATTTAAAATACCTCAACTACCCCCACTTACTTTATTTATTACACCTTTTCCACCTTATTTAATACACCTCATCCATTTTCATTAAGGGTATTTTGGTAAACTTTCACCTTTTTTCAACTCTCCTTAAAAACCGCAAAAAGTCAAAACGAGAAGATCTTAGGGGGACGGAGGGAGTATAATTATAAATATATTATTTATAATAAATACCGCATAAATAAATTGAAGTGCAATATAACTACACAGCCTTTTATAAATTTAATATTTTTATATTTATGCTAACTTTAAATTATAATTATTTTTCGAAAAGTAGTTTTTTGTATTTAAAAAATAACAATACTTTTTTTATATCTTAAAAACATTCACTAAGATAACGTGATGATTATGATGATGATTATGATGATGATAATGATGACGATGATGATGATGATGATAATAATAATATAAACATTTTTTTAGGTTTTCCAGTTTCTTCCAGTTTTTTCCATTTTTTTCCAGTTTTTTCCAGTTTTTCCAGTTTTTTCTAGTTTTTCCAGTTTTTTTCAGTTTCTTCCAGTTTTTTCTAGTTTTTTCCAGTTTCTTCCAACATCCAGCTCTTTTTTTTATAGTCCTAAAGAACATGCCCTGAGATACATACTTCTAAGGAACCACTTACCATTTACATTCTATTTCTTTTTTGTTGGAAATATATTTATAATGTTTTTCAATTATTTCCGATTTTTTATAATCTTGTTTTTAAAAAAAATCAGTTCTTCAAATCCCACTTTTTTTCAACAGTGACTTCAAGAAAAAGAAAAGGACTAAATTAGAGTAAAAATAGAGAAAATATCAAAATAAGAGTTTCGTGTTTTCTATTTAGATGTATTTTTCATACTATTTGTGTTACAATTATTATAATTGTTATTATTTTTATTGTTATTATTATTATTTTCTTACTGTTATTATTATCATTATAATTTTCAATGTCAATAAAATAATAAAAAATGAAATAGTATCACAACCCTAAAATAACGTACATCCAAATAAATTTATAATATACACTCCCACAAATGTACACAAATAAACATGAATTGTTTTTATTCAAATTGAGTATTTTTACATACGGAGTATTTATTTTGACCATTTTTCCAGAATGTAGTGGTTCAAGTATCATTTTTTGAATAAAAACATCAAATTTTGTTGGGTATAAAGTGCAGTGTAAGATTATTTTTGTTGATTGACATAAGACTAGGTGTAGTAGCCGTTTTGACACGGTGTAAAGAAGTATGACGCTGAGTGATAAAAATATGTATATTGCGGACTTCAAATAGGGCATAACCAAAAAATGATGTCCTGGAGAATTTTCTTAAATTATTTATGTTGGTTGAAATTAAAAAAAATAGTCACGTTGAGATGGATGGCCTAATTACGAGCCTATTACTTTATCCTATTACGATCAAACCTAAATATCTTAACACTCCTCAAGTTGAGAATGAGGATCACGAATAAACAACTTGAACAATAAAATTAGGACTTAAAAAACTCAACAAACAACTTGGACAAAACATTGATTATTTGTTATGCCAACGGATGAAAGCAACTGGCCGAGCAAACAAACAACCAAAGTTGATGACAAATGACTCTCACGCGAGATAACTAACAAACGGACAAACTGTTGCCAGACTGAGGTGCAACTATACGACCAGCCCTATAAACAAATATGTCAGACTGAGGTGCGATTATGCGACCAACCCCATAAACAAATATGCCAGACTGAGGTATAACGATGCGACTAACCCCATTAACAAATATGACGACTCAGACGCGGCTATGCGACCAAACTCACAAACAAACATGAGGAACATATGACTAGTTGCAACAACATAAGCAACCAAAATGACGTCATCAAATGTGTCTTCAGAACTTGGTGAAGAGAATACTTGGCATGAAAACCTTCTTCCACATAGTACAAACAAAGCAATACAAAACCAACAAATTCTTGAAATTAATGAAACAGAATCACAAGCAACACAATCAATTGAAAAATTACGGCATACTCCCTCCGTCCTAAAATTAACTTCTCATTTGACTTTTCACGGTCTTCAATGCGACACTTTGATCATCACTATCTCAATTTTTATAGAAATATATTTTATAAAAATTATATATTTCAAAAATATGTTTCAAAATGAATCTATTGCTAATAAATTTATATGAAAATTCAATGTATTTTTTCCATAATATAAGGTCAAAGTTTAAAAAGTTTGATTACAAAAGTTAAACTGAGAAACTAATTTTAGGACGGAGGGAGTATTTGCTAACGTTTGGCCAACCACACAATAATTTGGAAATTAATAACCATCAAACAGGCGGAAGAACAACAGGAGTAACAATAGACAGATTTTGGTAAACGAACGAGGGTGAAGCCGGTGGCAGTGTCAGAAGCTAGACTAAACTATCACAAATCTCATAATTGGTGTGAAATTGATTACTCCCTCCGTCCCTCTGTATTTGTCCACTTTCATTTTTACACACCATCCAATGCACATACAGGGGGGATGGAGGGAGTATATCACAAATACGGTTAACACAATTACACAAACATGTGTGTTGGTTTATTGGGCATCAATCTTTTTTACTCTCTCCGTCCCTAAATATTTACAACGTTTGCTTTTTCAGCGCTGCGGGAACTTTTGTTTATTTCTACGTTTTCATTGGTTATTTGATAAAATAAAATATTATTGACACATCTTATTTCGAAGAACTTTTCATGTAGTTTTTTGATATGTAAATTTTATGTTTTATTTCTATACCAATATGTAAATAAAATGAATTGAAAAAATTTGATATTTTGACTCGAGAATACAAGTATGACAAATATTTAGGGACGGATGGAGTATAAACACTCCTTTTAGTCAGTGTAAGGAGTCATTTGATCCATGTAAATTCTGTTCAATCAAATTAATTCTTGTAACTAGGGAACAAGAATGAAATTATGTTGGTCATGTGTGAATGAATTGTCCTATAGTGGAGGTTATGTGAGTCAAGTCACAATTAAATGTCGTAAGCGCTTGTGTATAAAGTCAAATCATGAGCTTCTAGTTTTTAAAAAATTAGTAGCGCTTGTATAAAGTCAAAGTTCCGTTCAAAGGACACATAGGGACTAAAATTAGATGTTTAAATAATTTTAAGGCCAAAAGTAAAGCTAAGCTTTCAAGCTATTAATTTGTTGAATATTTAATGGCTTTACAAACTCCCTACCAAAGAATGACAATCATCAGAATAGTACTAATCTATAAATCATTCCCAAAAAAAAAAAAAAAAAAAAAAAAGAAATCGTCTTCCTCCGCGAAATCCTCAATCCTCATTAATCAGAACCTCTGGATTTTGTCGGGCCTCACAGCCGGATTTTCCCTGGCAATGGAGACCCGACCCGCGGCCTTGAAATCAAAGCTGCAATTGTGCGTCTCAGGGTAGCGGTGGGCCACACAGAAGGCGAACCCGCACTTGCAATTGAACGCCACCAGCCCCATCTTCTTCCGGCAACTCCCACACCTGTTCGAGTCGCACGGCGGCAGCGGCGGCACCTCTCCGGCTGAATCCGCCGACCTGACCGGCCACACGGACGCCGGATCTCTGAGATTTGTGGTCAGCGCGAGCTTCTCCATGGCGGAAATCGCCAGATCTACCTCCTCGGGGCGGAGATCCGCCGTCAGCGCGAGCTTCTCCATGGCGGACGTGGCCCGCTCCACCATCTCGGCGGTGTAGCACTTGGAGCAGAGTCCGTTCGTCGCCGGTGATCCGAAAAATCCGCATCCCCTATTGCAGAGGGAGGGAAGTCCGGTCCCGGCGTCCGTCCAGTTCCCCTTCCATTCCATTTCCTCTTTACTCTTCTTCTTCAACGGCGAGTCTTCGTTGATTCCCGGCGAAACTGTGGAATCAGAGGATGGGGAAGTCAGTGTATATATAGAGAGAAGAGTATAGAAAGTCGGTGGGACTGTGTTTTCCAATCCCTAATAGGAAAGGACTATCCACAGTCTTTTTTTCTTAAAAATAGTGTAAAAAACTTTTAAAAAAAAGTTCTTGTAAATTAAAACTTTGCCACAAAAAAAAACTAATTCTAAAACAAAAGTGAAATTATAAAAATAGAGGATAAAGAAAAGATACTCGTAATATTATTAATTTTTGAAATATTTTGGTTTACTTCTTAATTTAAATAAGATATACTCTAACCTTCTTAACTTTTGAAATATTTTTGTTTACTTAGTCCGATCTTAATTTGTTTCATGTAAAATTTATGTTGTTGTTATGAAATTAATGATTGTTCATTTATTCAATTAATTAGGCCTACTTTCTAGAATAGTAGATTAAGACAACCATTGATGAGTATCAATTTTGTACAGTCCTTCCCACTTGTATTTGTATTCATACCAAGCCTCTCCACTATAAATAGAGACCTAATTCCTGAATTGTAATGACCATTAAGAATAAGAAAAAGAGTGAAGAGTTAATAAAGTGAAGAAATCAAAAATATATTATATCTATTCTCATAATCTCTGAGTAGTTTTTCTCTAATTTTACAACACGTTATCAGCACGAGTTTGATCAAAATCCCAGAATCTTTGTTCTTCTCAGAAGATATGTTGATAATTGTTTATGACTTCAGTGGCAAAGAACAATGTCTAATAGACAGTGCCACAACGCACACCATTTTGAGAAACAAAGAATATTTTTCTCAAATGACTTTGATGGAAACTAATGTCAATACAATCTCTGGTGTTGCAAAGTTCATTGAAGGGTCTGGAATGACTTTTTTAATCCTTCCTCAAAGGACAAAATTAATTATCAAAGACGCATTATATTCCAGCGAATCCCGAAAGAATTTATTAAGCTTTAAAGATATGCGTCAAAATGGTTATCGCATTGAAACCATGACAGGAAATCAAAAGGAATACTTGTCTCTAACGATAACCAAATCTGGCAATAAAATTCTTTGTGAAAAGATGCTAGTGTATTCCTCGGAGCTATATTATACTCACATTAGTCCCGTTGAAGTGAATGTTGTCTCTAATAAAAAATTAGATGATCAGAAAACATTCATTTTGTGGCATGACCATTTGGGTCATCCTGGCAGTGTAATGATGCACAAAATAATTCAAAATTCACTTGGACATTCATTGAAAAATATAAGGATTACAAGATCAATTGATTTTCCATGTGTTGCCTGATCTCTTGGAAAATTGATTGTTAGGCCATCTCTAAATAAAATTGGAGTTGAATCTTATGCATTTTTAGAAAGAATTCAAGAAGATATTTGTGGGCCAATTGCCCCACCATGTGGACCATTTTGTTATTTTATGGTGTTGATCGACGCATCAACACGTTGGTCACATATTAGTCTTTTATCTACAAGAAATTTTGCATTTGCAAAATCTTTGCTCAAATCATACGTTTGAGAGCTCAATTTCCGGATTATTCAATAAAAAAAATCCGACTTGATAATGCAGGAGAATTTACATCCCAATCATTTAATGACTATTGCATGTCTATTGGGATTGATGTGGAGCATCTAGTTGCTCATGTGCACACTCAAAATGGTCTTGCTGAGTCTTTAATAAATCGATTGCAATTAATTGCTAGACCATTATTGATGAAATCCAGTTTACATGCATCTGTTTGAGGACATGTTGTATTGCATGCTGCAAATTTAATTCGGCTAAGGCCTACTGCAAATCATATTTTTCCTCATTACAATTGGTAACAGGAAAAGAACCATATATTTTTCACATAAAAATATTTGGATGTGGCGTATATGTACCAATTGCTCCACCAAATCGTACAAAAATGGGTCCTTAAAGAAAGCTGAGAATTTATGTCGGCTTTGATTCTCCCTCAATTATAAAATATCTTGAGCCCATAACTGGTGATTTATTCACAGCTCGGTTTGCTGACTGTCATTTCGATGAGACAGTATTCCCAGCCTTAGGGGGAGAAAATGAGAAAAAGGACCCATGTACGAAAGATATTACATGGAATGCAACAGGAATATCTTTTCTTGATTCAAGAACAAATGCATGCGAACAAGAAGTGCAAAAGATAATTGATTTACAAAATGTTGCAAATCAATTGTCTGACGCATTCACGGATTCAAAGAAAATGACAAAGTCACATATTCCTGCTATGAATGCTCCTGCCAGAATTGAAATTCCTTGAGAGAGAAATGAAAAAACTCTTGCAAATGAGTCTTCAATACGCAAAAAAGCGTGGCCGACCACTTGGTTCAAAAGATGTAAAACCAAGAAAACTTAAAAGGCAAGAGACAATGTTTGAAACAAAAGATGTTCAATCTTTAAGGCAAGACAATTAACAAACCGAGCATGTTGATATAAAAAATAATATTAACGAACAATTTGTTTCAAATGAGGATTTAACAATCTCTGAAGATGCGAATAATTCAGATGAAGATAGAAACGTTGATAATTATGAGATCTCAATAGATTACGTTTCTACGAGATTGCATTGGAACAGAAAAGATGTTCATGTATATGATATATTCGCATATGCCATTGCCACAAACATCAAGGATGAAAATGATGACATTGAGCCAACTTCAGTTGATGAATGTCGACGTAGACATGATTGGCCAAAAAGGAACAAAGCAATTCAGGCAGAATTGAAATCACTTGAAAAACGAAGTATTTTTGGGCCTATAGTTCCTATGCCAAAAGGCGTGAAACCAGTTGGTTTCAAATGGGTTTTTGTGCGTAAGCGCAATGAGAAAAATAAAATTGTGAGATATAAAGCCCGACTTGTTGCCCAAGGTTCTTCTCAAATCGCGGGGATAGATTATGAAGAAACTTATTTCCCAGTAGTTGATGCAACTACGTTGAGATTTTTGATAGGCATGTCTGTCTTTGAAAAACTTCTTTAATGGATGTAGTGACAGCATATTTATATGGATCTCTCGATATGGACGTATATATGAAAGTTCTTGGACGCCTTAAATTGCCCGAGGTTTATAGTTCCAAACCTCGAGAGATGTTTTCCATAAAATTGGAAAAATCACTATATCGACTAAAACAATCTGGCAGAATGTGGTATAATCGCCTCAGTGAATATCTGCTCAGAGAAGGATACAAAAATGATCCAATTAGTCCATGTGTTTTCATCCGTAGATCTAAATCAGGCTTTTCCATTATTACAGTATATGTTGATGATTTAAACATCATTGAAACTTCTGATGAAATAGAAAATACTGTAAAATATCTCATGAAAGAATTTGAGATGAAAGATCTTGGGAGAACAAAATTTTGTCTTGGTCTTCAAATTGACCATTTGAATGATGGAATATTCATCCACCAGTCAAATTACACGAAGAAGGTTCTGAAGCGGTTTTATATGGATAAAGCACATCCTCTCACATCCCCGATGGTTGTCCGCTCTCTCAATGTACATGATGATCTGTTCCGACCTCGTGAAGATGGTGAAGAAATTCTCAGTCCATAAATACCATACTTGAGTGCTATTGGAGCTTTGATGTATCTAGCAAACAACACTCGACCAGATATTGCATTCTCAATGAACTTGTTAGCCAGACACAGCTCGAACCCGACTAGGAGGCATTGTAATGGCATTAAACACATTTTGTGATATCTCAATGGTACCATCGACCTTGGTTTATTCTACCGCAAAGATGCCAAGGTCACTCTTATTGGATACGCTGATATAGGATATTTGTCTGATCCGCAAAAAGCAAAATCTCAAACAGGATATGTGTTTACTTATGGAGATACCGCAATATCATGGAGATCGATGAAGCAAACTTTGACTGCCACATCATCAAATCACGCAGAGTTGATAGCTCTCTACGAAACAGGTAGAGAATGTGTATGGTTGCGATCAATGATCCAACATATCCAGAGCAGGTGCGGTATAGAAACAATTACTGGTCATCCGACTCCTATATACGAACACAACACTGCATGCATTGCTCAAATGAAAGGAGGTTACATCAAAGGAGACCGAACAAAGCACATATCACCAAAGCTATTCTCAACACATGATCTCGAAAAAGATGGAAAGGTTAACATCAAGCAAATCAAGTCCAGTGAGAACCCTGCTGATTTATTTACAAAAGTGTTGCCCCAAAGAAATTTGAAGAACTCGTGCACAAAATTGGCATGCGTCGCCTTCGTCAATTATGCTAAGCTAAGGGGGAGAATTTTATGAATTGTACTCTTTTTCCCTTGATCAGGTTTTATCCCACTGGGTTTTTTCTGACAAGGTTTTTAACGAGGCAGTACATAAAATTAGAATGAGTTACTAAACTATGCCCATTTACGAAATACCCATCATTAATTGAAAAATGAACATTCAAGGGGGAGTGTTATGAAATTAATAATTGTTTATTTATTCAATTAATCAGGCCTACTTTCTAGAATAGTAGATTAAGACACTCATTGATGAGTATCAATTTCGTACAGTTCTTCCCACTTGTATTTGTATTCATACCAAGCCTCTCCACTATAAATAGAGGCCTAATCCCTGCATTGTAATGACTGTTAAGAATAAGAAGAAGAGTCAAGAGTTAATAGAGAGAAGAAATCAAAAATATATTATAGTTATTCTCATAATCTCTGAGTAGTTTTTTTCTCATTTTACAACAGTTTGATTATAATGTAAAAGTTATAAAAAAAATTCGAGGGAGTGACCCCTGAACTCTCGCCTTTACTTTTTTGCCCTCGTCATTTTTATTTCTAAATCCGTCACTAAGGACTATTGTAAAAAAAATAATAAGTTGTATAAACTAGGCACATTAAAGGATGCCTTATCAAAAAACAAAACAGAAAAGTACAAATAGAAATACTGATTCATCACATGATATTCATTAAGTTTTACTTTTTTATAGTCATATAAAATTGAGAAATTTTAACTATGGAGTATTAAATAAATACAAATAGTCAAATAAAATTATACTAGTGTTAACCCTGTGCTTCGCACGAGCTCGTATATATTCTAAATTTCTGAGATTGTATAAATATAATTTTAGCTATTTTAGTTTTTAATAGTGACAAAATATATTTTAAACTGGTGGAATATATATTGGTATGTTAATTTAGAAACAAACAAATTATACAAAATTAATGGTCATTGAATTTAGTACTAATAAAAATAATTTTAATTAATAAAATATTTTAATAAAAAGTGGATTAATTACATAACGATACATCATTAGAGAATGTATATGTGTCATAATGTCACTTGTCAGTTGTTACCCTTCAACGAAAGCAATTTGATTTTATTTACTTTGTTAAAAAATATTTGTAGCAATAAAATAAACAATGTAATAAGATAAAATTTTTGAAACAAATTGTTTAATTAATAAATATGCATATGTGATTAAATTTATATAATCATTTTTTGAAAAATAATAAACTAAAATAAGTTGTGGATAGTATAAAAATAATCCTGTTTATAATTAATCCTAAAAATAATCCTAAAAATAATTAATTTATATATATAATATGGAGTATATTTTACAATGATGAAATATATATTTATAGAATTACTAAAAAATGAAAAAGTTTTATGCAAATGTATTCAAAGATCTTTTAAAAAAATCAAAATGGACCAATGAATTGAAATGCATAAATGCACATCATTAGTGAGTGCACATGTGGCATGCCACATGTCAACACTACAACAATTTAACTCTCTTTTACATATATACTAGTATTTTGACCCGTGCGATGCACGGGGTCGAACGAAACTATTGTCGATTTTGAAATTTTTCAATGAAATATTTATTCCAAAATCAAGTAAATATATTTCTGTCACAAATTTTAATCAATGGAAAACAATGACAAAGTAGAATATAATATTTGAGAAATTGAAAGTGTACTCGAAAAAATCTTTTTTAATTCCAAATTTTTTTGAAAGACTTTTAGTGTACACAACATTTTTTGTATCGTTGTAAGCATTTTTATTTTCATCTAGAACCAATATTTTTAATCATGTCTTTTCTTTACTCGTTTAAAAGAGTAACATAAAACTAACCATGAGTAAATCCCGAATTGGTTAAAAATAATATAGCAAAGGACAATGTTTGACATTGACTTTTGTTGATAGTCATAGCAAAACATAAGACTATTATATTGAGAATTCTATCAGATGATACCAAATTTTATTCAGGGTATGTAAACCTTTTTCTCCAACGCGATTTCTCGAAACATCAATTACATTGATAATGTTCTTTCACATCACTTTAATGATTAATCTTTTACCATTACACAATCCATATATTTGGTCAATGTTCTTCAATAACATAATCGGTACCCCCTTTTAAAAACTGTTTTATGGTTTGAATCCCCTAACATTTGATTTCATTACGAAGAATTGAACTGTTATCTAATCGTCTTTAACAACTACATCTAAATATGTTTTGCATCAAGAATGAGAACTTAAGTATTCTTTTTTACCTCTTAGAATAATGCACTATCCTCAAAAAAGAATAATTTTCATGTTCTCTAATAGGTTTGGATAAGTAAAGTCCACTATACTCTTGCGGGGATAACTTGTGTCAAGCATCAAGAATTCAAGCGGGATTTCAACGTCAGCAGTTTCATCGATCACTTGTCCAAGTTTTCCATCTTTGACATTGCTTATCAATACAGAAAAAGATTATGTGTCCCTATCAGTGCAAGAGCGTGTAGATAAATGCAATCTCATATTCTTAGCTAACCTATAAACTTTACATTACAATCACATTTGTGAGAATTGGTGGTAGCACCCACAATTTCCTCTCTCTACGCTATGAGTAGACCTGAAAGAATTTGGATAAAATCACCTCCGAGTATAGCTGTTTTCCCTCCGAATGGTTCATTTATGAAGTTATTATTAAAAAATCTCATTACATCTCTCATTTTTC